CTATACTCGTATATTAACAATTTTGTAAACATAACCGTTATTATATTGTATAAAAAAATATTTACCGTGAAGACATTCGGGGGCAGCGAGTTTTATTTAATCTTTTTATGTAAAAAAATAAATGTGCTCTGCTAATTTTGTGATATTATAATGAATTTTCCGTTCGTCAACAGTTATTAAAAAGAAAGAAAAAATGTATTTGATAATTATAATTCACATTGTAGTGAAAGTAAATAATATTTTAATCACATATTCACAATTTGTGTACGCATAATGTTTTCGTTCGCTTAAACTATTATAAAACACAATTAAATGTATATAATATCCATTGTTATGAAATTTATAGATATGTTGTAACTATATAGAAAAACGATACCATCAAAGCATCTTTATTGAAGAAATTCATAATTGTAACCATGTCGTGTTTATTAATTTTGTGTGTTCGTGTGCAGCGTGTATTATAAAAATATAATAATATATAAATTATTAATATGTATAAATAAATTATAAATACGAACTGTAACATGTTTTAGCATTAATCATAATATAAAATTATTATATGTTTGGTATTGGTACAGCCATTCCGACTATAGAGGGTACTCACTATACACATACTATTAGGAAAATAGATTAACAAAATACTTTCTGGTGAAAATAATTTGAACCTTTCGATTCAGGATGTATATATATAGTTTTATACTGATTTTTTTCTTTTTCTAATAAATTAATTGTGTTATGAAAACTTTATACGATGATGGTATGTACAATTTCTACTAGTATTATCAAATTAAATTAAAATACACTTCAATTAAAGCAAAACGTGAACGAAGTGTCGGGGAAATACATAAAATATAATGATAATAGTATCCTAACTCCACATAAGGGGGAAACTGTCTAACCATCAGTATGAAAACGCCACCGGTGTTAATCCGTTTTCGTAATTAAGAAATGATGAGTTACATCAAAAATAAAATATTATTACGTTGTTTTTGGATATCACTTTTTATTTTTCAAGTTTGAATGATTAAGTTGCTGTATGGTAAAATGATCAATCAAGATCAATAATTATCGAAAACCATGATATGAATATTTCAAAATAAACTCAACTGTTTGTCATGTAAAATTACACCGTTCCTATTCTAATCGATTTAATACTCGTTATAATTACTGTTCTGTATTTACCTGATGTCCGATTATTTTGAGGCATTTGAATATGTCAAAGAAAAATTCGCCTTTATAAGTAAATATTTCTGTATACCTACGTAAACAATATTATCATAAAATTAAATATAATATTACGTTTGAAGAAACACATTGCATAGCAGTATAATAGTGTTCATAAGTTTTCACGTAATTTTCCTCTGGTTAATTCTTTAACCACAATTGTTCTGTGTTCACACGTATATTTTATGTAGTGTTCTGATGTTCGTTAATTCAGATTTTGTAGTACACGTGTGAAAGTTTAGGATCACTTTCGTTTTTTATTTCGATAACATTCCAGATAAAAGATGAGTAAACCACTATAAACGTCTTTATTATAATGATCGTGGAGAAATAAATGATGATACACAGATAGGTACAACAGTGGTCTTTATATTTATCGTTTCCTTATTTCCTTTCCTCGTTAAAAAAAATTATCAGTTATTATAAGTAATTATTGAATTTAACTATTTTACTTATTTTAAAATTATCCTATTATTTAACGTTATTTTAATTTACTTAAATCCATTTAACATTTAATTTTTATTGGGCTCAGTAAAAGTGATCATTATTTATTAGTTTCATTAGAAAATCTAACTTAATCAGTAATATATATATAATATTAACGGTTAGGATCTTTACATATAAATTAGTAAATCTTTTCAATATTGATCATTAGTGTGTATAATATACTCGCATAGTTGGTCGTTTAAAACGAATCATTTCAATTATGCATGGTAAACATAAAATAAATTAAATTCTGATCATGTATGTTTAAATTTTAATATTCCTACATATTAATTTTGTAGATTAACTCCAGCGTACATGATCGTCCTTTTAATGGCGGAAGTGTCTAGCCGATGGCTTCGAAACATTTCCGTATTTGAACCAGAGAATAACAACCACATAAGTTGCGCTGATTATTGGTGGAGAAATATGTTATACATAAACAGCTTGTATCCCAGAAATGAAATGGTGATTGTCAATTTATTATTTATCTACTCATCGGSCATAAGTAATTTAAAATATTTTATGTTTTTTTTATAGTGTATGTTGTGGAGTTGGTATATGTCCAATGATACGCAATTCTATGTCTTAGCAGTCATACTACTTCTCGTTTCTGCCAGGTAAATTATTAATCAATGACCTTAAAAATGCTTTAATCATATTATGTATGGTATATTATATATTATATAGATATAAAGGTACCATTGAATTAAAAATTCATTGTTAAATATTGAGTCCTAAAGAGAATTTCAATAGTTATAGGTACAGAACATGAATGCATTATACGATTAAAGTATACAAGATACATTTTGTTTCTTGATAGATGAATAGAATAAAATAAAATTGCAAAATTTTATCATGGTTAAGTCAATAGATTTTTTTTTTCAATGACCTATCTTTATTCTAGGCATTTCAAAGGAGCGGTTATAGGATTGGTGGCGTTCTTAATCGGATCATGGGTCGTCACAATATTCGTCGCAGTACATTACAATTTCAGAGCAAGGTAAGACGTTATAACATATTAAAGTTTATGTACTGAATAGCAGTGATTACAGATATTTACTATTAGATTCAGAGTGGAGGGATAAATGTATGATTTTATATTGATACGTATTTTTTTCTTTAAAACGTTGTGCATATACTCGTATCATACAATATTCGATAAGTAGTCGGAACACTGCTTTGATTTTTAATTAGAAGGATGTTTATGATAAAAAATTTGATTAAAGTAGTATTTTGAAATGATCAAAATGTAAAATTCCAAGTATTTTTCGTAAATATCGTGAAAAACTATAAAAAATTTAGACAAGACAGTAATTTTTACACAAAACCAGTTTTAAAAATCTATTAATTTTTTTTTTCTTCGTTGGGTTAAAATCAAAAAGTTTGTTAACGTATTTGTAAGGTTTCTCATATGGTATAACTATAGTAATTTAAAAATACTAAGGTACAATTTTTTTTAGAAGTAATTGAAGTTAAATTTTAATAAAATTCATTAAAATCACCAACATTTGAAAATCAACGTAATTTAACAAATAATAAAATAGATTCATAAAAATTGAAAACATTAAGTTGCGATAAAATATTAAATATATAAACTACTTTTTTAATACAAAATTGTAATTGCAATGTATAATATCAATAATATTATGTATTTATTTATTAAAAGGATAGAGGAACCATTTGGTCTATTTGATCAGCTTTATGATAAACCATGGTCAAGACTTGGACCTTATTTATTTGGCATGTTCGCTGGATGGTTTTTGTTTGTTACCAAATGCAAATTGAAAATGTCCTCCGTAAGTATAATTATATAATTATATACATTTAAATATACATCTAACTTAAAATAAATTATGGCGATCTTTCTATTTTATCATAATATGTATCTCTTTTACCTTTTTCACGAAAAGAAAAGTAGGAAAATTGTATATAAGTAGTTGATGATCTCTTAAAATAGTTGAATTTGCATTGAAAGTTGTAATAATAGTATCAGAAAGCGAATAAATTGTTTACTTTGAAAAATTACCACGGTTTAATTCCTAACTTAAATTAAAATGTATAATTGTAGACAGTCGCTTATAATAATATAAGTATTTTAGTGACGWATTAAACACTTAAAAGTTATTAAATAAAAGTTATAAATCAATATATATTGCTGTCAAACATAAATTATCTCATTCGCATACTTGCGGTAAACTCTAACGGTCACTTCATGAATGTTCGCGAACAGTTAAACGATGTCGATTCATCCATATCTATATGCTTATAGTTTTATAATTTTTTAAAACATTTTTGCAGTTAATAAATCGTTGTTCATATACTCGTATATAGGTAAATAAAAATATGTATCTTACACTATCGTGTCGACATTTTGCAGTTAACTGTCGTGCTGGGTTGGTCTCTGTCACTGTTCAGCCTGGCGTACCTGGTGTACGGGCTTCACGTGGTGCACTTGGACTTGGCTGGTTCCGCCCTATATGCATCCGTCGGCCATTCAGCCTGGGGTGCTGCGCTAGCCTGGATAGTGATCGCCTGTTGTACCGGTCACGGGGGATGTGTCAATTCGGCGCTGTCGTGTCGTCTGCTTCAACCCCTTAGCCGTCTGACGTACTGCGCCTATTTGGTCCACCCCATCATCATGACCATGACCAACTTCCAAATGGACGGACCGCTGCATCTCCACAATCTGATAACGGTAAGTGCAGTCAGCGTATACAATATACACACACAATATACAACATAATATAGCCCTGCATTATATTGCCTGCAGTGTCGCAACGTATTGGCGTATTGTTTACGTCAACCCTCCTTGCTTTATACATTGATATCCTAATCTGGGCTATAACCTCAAAGACTAACAACTATATATTTAAAAGTTTTAACTGAATCTTAATTTGACGTTTTTTAAATATTTACAATAATTTGAACTCTGTATCATCTCAAAATGAACTTAAATACGTTAACATTACTAATTAATATAATATATTCATACATATGTATTATGTATATATATTCGTAAATATATACAAGTAACCAAGATTTTAAGATCTATTCTCACTAATTCAGAAACACTTCAAATTAATTAYTATTTTTATTAATATTGTTGTTGTTCGAAAGCATTATAATATGTAAGTTCACTTTTTTCTTTTTTAAATGACAAACATTTGTTTATCAATTATTACGACAACAATGATTACAATCTCGCACAGTACATACTTTCACTAGCATCAAAAGACAAGATCTTATTTAATTTGTGTTTAACTCAAACGTATAACTATAGTAGGTACGTCATATTATAATTACATTTAACAACATACGAGTAAGTGTATAACTATAGTACTGTCCAAGTAATGCGGTCGATAAAATGAAGTACAATAATTTTCATGATGTGCTGGAGAATAAGAGATTTTATATCATTGAAGTTACATTGCATGATTTTTCACAAGAACACTAACGAGCGGATATTTATGAGCTCTGAATAAAAATCAAATATAATACCTATAGATATCACACAGGTAAAATCCTGGATGCAATTTATTATTCAGAATAGGTAGTTGTGATTGAGGTTGTGTGTGTGTATGCGCGAGCGCGCTTACGTGTTCGTATAGGTATTAGGTGCAGGTAAATTTAATCGTCATGACGTGTAAATGATTTAGTATGAAGCTAAAAATATCATAAAGAAAATAAGTTTCGTAATATTGTTTATTGTTTATACAAAACATTCATGGTAACATTGGTAACAATTGATTTGTGATTGATAATAATTATGAATGTTATTACCAGACATATCTAACATATAAAATCAATTAAAGAAAACAACTATTTTATTACTAAAAAGATATATATGTGTCAGTAGAGAAAGTAACAATGATTTATTATTGCACGTTCGTTTATACGACTAATCACTATACGCCTTGAACCTAGTCTGAACAATATAGTAACATACAAAACGTATTTTTGTCACGCCTGGACTGAAAGTTTAATTTTTGATGTTAGTTGAAGCATTGGAAAATGAAATTTTTCCGTCTGGTGAAAAGTTAATTTGCGGAAAAGTGGAAATCCTAGTAAGCAGCGGTCGGAAATGTTTCCGTCCAAATCAGATTAATATACAATATAAACATATCAATATATGTTTTGTCTATAATATATCAAATGCAAGGTAGCTAGGTAGATTACCTATATATTGCTCTATGAAAAATATTTACAAATTTAGATATCGTGATCACTTTATTATGAGGCGATTGAGGTATGACAAAAAATATGTGTGGAAACTGGGAATGAAATTTTAAGCTTTCGTCTGTGGTTTGTGCGGTAAACGTAGTATGCGACTGAATAATAACTCACTTACTGCCCTTCCAAAATAATATACTAGGTAATAGGTATCAATAAATCTAAATAAAATTTATATTTAGGCATAACTGTTGGCGATGAAACATTCAACTTACTAATGAGTATTTACTAATTACATGTATACGAATATGTTTTCCAGATGATATTGTACTTTGGTAACGCGGTAGCATCTTTCTTGTTATCCTTCTTCATATCTCTTACATTTGAAGCACCCGTGGTGAACCTGCTCAAAATTATGTTATCATCACCACAGGTGAAGAAAACCTCGATGGAAAAAAACAGTTCCGAACTACAAGACTCGTAACACTGAAAACTGTTATTATTATACGATTTATTTAATAATAGCAATAGAAATAATTCATCGTTAAGATGTTTAAGTATAGTTTATATTAAATTATTTTTTAATATTAATAATGATATATTAATGTAAATTATAAATGTTTTTCAATAAAATGGTTAAATGTTTTTTTTTCATCCTTCAAAACTCTTCTATAATTCCTTGTATATAATATTAATAAAAATAAATTATTATACAATAATTCTACTGGATAAATCTAAGACTGGATACTGACTATGTCGATGTTTAAATAAAGTCCTAATACCATTATAAAATATATTTGTAATTTTTGTAAGTTGTCGTAAGAGTGATAGATTCTATAGAGTCGGTATGAATGCAAATGTAATGGATACCACTAAGAGTATTCAAACATATAATTTGGTGACCAAATGTGGGTCTCTTACTAAATGTAGTATAATAAATCAATAAATATATGTTCAAACTAGATATAATATTTTTAAATAAATTCCACAAACTGTAAATAATGTATTTTTCTTCCAAATCATCAATTTATTTTAATGATAAGTTAGAACCAATAATATCTTTAATTTTTTTTTTAATTTAAACATTTTTTTTGATTACCTAGATGATTTTTGCATTATTTAATTCTAGAATTTATTGTAAAAAATATATAAAAATTAAATAATACTCCAATTCATAAAATAATGGCGAATATGTAATATTTTAATGGTAACTTCAGAACGACAAATAATTTATAATTTTTAAAATGTCAAACCATCGAATAAAAATCCCGTGACTGGTAAAGTGTTTCTAAGCAACCAACGTCCTTAATTTTTATGATGTATTAAATTTGATAATTTATAACTCTTGTACTTAAACCATAAAACTTATTCATAGGGAAAAGCACTTTTGAAATGGAATTTCTTGAATCTTTTACAAATCTTATAATAATACTGTATGGTATTATGATGTTTGTTGACACTCAGCTATAACAGCTAAATGTTCGGTACACTTTAATTCAAATTCTGTAATAGATCTAATGATTTCCCTTCTAACTGACGTTTATTTCCATACCTAATATTTCACTCATTATCCAATAATTATTTGTTATATTATATTAATATGTTTTGTGATTGTGCCACCTATATGTAGGTATATCTTATTTAATTGTTGATCTGTAATAGTCTAGTACTGAAATCTATAAAAATAAACAAAAAATTTTATTTTATTGATAGTAGATACGTCACATTTTTTGTATAATATATATTAGAATATCGTAACATTTCGAATTTAATAATAGTATTGACGAATTTATAGTAACTGTGATACTTGGTATCAAGATTGCATACCCAACGCGCCGCGTTATAAAAATATACATGATATTGATATTATAATTTTTTCAAGGATTAAACATAAACATAATTGATTTCTTAACAAAATCACACATTTTTCATCATATGCAACTATTGTTTTTTTTTTAGAGTTACTATCAGAAATGTGGAATTCATCGTTAAAAAATGTCAGATAAAATTGTGTACTTTTAAAATTATGTTTTGTTGTCTTATGCATTCAAACCTTTTCCTAAAATTGTCCATGTCGACATTAATTAATAATTAAAATTTAATATTTGCATCATTAGTAATAACATCGATTATTACTAATAAGAAGTAAATAATCACTTAAATACAATTAATATTGTATTAATGTATAGTGATAAATATATAAGTATCAAATATTGGTATAGGTATTCAAAAATTCAAACAGTGGAAAAAATAGTGATTTATCGATCACGTGTATTTATGATAACTTTTTTTTAAAAAAAAAAAGACTATTTCCAAAATGTTTGTATGTATAGTCTTAACTTCTTAAGGTTCAAAGGCTACTAATCGCAATAGTGTATTAGTAGTTACTTAAAATATTGTTATAATAGTTATTATACGCTTTTAAAAACATTTATAATTATGTCACTCGATTTTAATAATAATAAAAAAATTACCGATCCGGTAAAAAACCTCTGTATAATTACTTAAAAATACTTCTACTTGGAAAAAATTAATTTACCAAACTCATATATTACATAGTTATTAGAATAGTTAGTATAAATGTATAAATTAAATACGTAATATTACAAGTATATCCATGTTACTACATATTATAAAGAAATAAATCATTTATAAAGTACGAATGTAAAAATGAGTGTAGCGAGAGTGCGAGACGTTAAACGTTTTACATACAATCATTTTTCTATTTTCACGATAGTTTTAATTTATAATGGTAAACTACTTCATGAAATATTGAGACTCTATTTTAACTCATTTGTTAAGGATTATTTAATGCCTCATCGTAGCTGATTTATCTATAGTAAATAAAACTATTTGATCTAAAATTTTATGGTTATACGGGAAAATTAAAAATATATATATTATTCTAAATATTCTTGCAAAACAAAAAACAATTTAAGGTATGGGAATTTTTTTTATAAAAAATCATCTTCCAATAAAATTGATTTTGTTCTTTTGATGTTGCTCAAAAATGAATAACTTAAAATCAAATATGCTTGAAATTTTCACCAGATAACATATTATTATTTTCTATGAATCATAAATGATATAATTTTCAAAGTATTGCGTAAATTTTTTAGCAAGATATATAGACATTTTATATTTTTAATTATTTTAAATTTGATGTATGAATGTCAATTAAAAAAAAAGCGGGAAAGGTGGATATCACTGTGCTGTACAGTAGGTTACAAGTGGGTTACTGTAATGGATGGAATTAAATTTGAATCCAATGATATTATATCATTGTATACGAAAAACGATTCTGAGCAGAGACGGTTTATCTGTATGGGATACTATATTATTATAGATATAAATACTTATTAAAATATTTGACTTTCCGATGGACATTTTTTTGATAAAGGTAAACAAACTTATAAGGAATCTTGAATTAAATGTACAAATTTTAGATTTAAAAATAAAATTTCTTATGAATTCCTATCTAAGATAAGTCGAACATTGCCGTAATTTTTATGTATTTAATAACTTATAAAAAAAAAATCGTGCCTATGTATTTTTAATATTTTTCAACTGGTATTAAAATAATATGTTGGAAGCCTAATGTTAAATTTTGAAGCTTTTTGACCCAACCAATACAATTTTATTGACATTAATAGAAAAAAAAACTAAACAAGTTGAAAAATTAAAATATCAGTAAACAGCTCAAAACAAATCAAAACAATTTCAAAATCTTATCAAATAAATAAAATGCCTATATAAATATTCAGTGAAAATTTCAAGTATCCGCCGTCATTTTTTTTAGAGTTACACCAAAATAAGAAAATCGCTAAATGAGAAATCTAGTAAAAATCCAATGATGTAAAAAATTTAAATTTCAAACACTCATAAAAATTTAATTTGACTTTCTGGTGGATATTTTTTTATGATAAAAGTTGGCTAACTTATAAGAAACCTTGTATTAAGTTTTCTAATCTTAGATTTAAAAAGAAAATTTTTTATGAATTTCTAGCTTAAAATAATTAGCGAACTTTTGTGATTTGTTCGTATTTTATCAAAATTCAAACGTTGAATGCTTGTAAAAAAAAATTGTGACTAAGTATTTCTTTTATTTTTCAACTGATATTGTAAAAATATGATAGGAGCCATATRTTAAATTTTCAAGATTTTCTACCCAAAAAATTATTATCATTTATTTATATAATTATCGATATTAATTAAAAAAAAAATTTGTTTCTTGGTCATTTGTTTTAAAGTTACATCAAAAATCAAAATCGATTTTGTCAAAAACTGATTGTGCGTAAAATTTCCCGTTTTTTCCTTAATTTTTAGTTTATTTATCCCAATTATAAATTATTAAGAAAAATATCGGGGATTTTTACTTTTAACCCTCCAAAGTACTAACTAGATTCACTTTCTGATCGAACGAGGTACTGAAGTCGAAAATCGAAACATTTTTAATGCCCTAAAGCGTGATGCCAGAAACAAAAAAAAACACACACATCATGGTAAAATCAATATATTCCTAACTCCGCTAAGAATCTAAAATTTCACATGTCCATCAAACACCTTAGCATTTAAATACAAGGAATGAATTAATACCTATTAAAGCTATTTAGATATATGCCCATGGGTATGATATTTTATATAATCATTCAAAGTAGTAAAATTTAAATGTATTCATGTTGTTCCCTATATTCATAGTTTATATCGTATTACTATAACAATATTTAAAATAAATTACTATAATAATTATTAGCATAGAATTTATATGTTAATAGGTTGACAGTCCGTTTCCGCTCAGAATCGTTTTCGGTAAGTAACGGTTCATCGTTAAATTTGAATTAAACGCATACATCACAGAGACCTACTCATTGACAAGATACACTCAAATCCCAGTGTTTAACAGAGCGTTACCTTTTTTTTATTACCTAGGTACCACTTAATTTTTTCAACTGATGTTTATGAATATCAAGTGTATTTAGTAATTTGACCATATTTGATGTTGTTAAAACATATTATAAATTGTGCGTTAATAGTAAATGCAATATTGATAACAAATTATACATTGATACATATTGTAAGAATCAAATATTTATATATAATGCATGGAATTTTCTTCTTCTTCTTCTTTAGTATTAACTTTACTAAGTAGATTATTAAGATATGAACATTTGGTATTTTATATCATAACGTATACGAATTTTAATAATATAAACTAAGATTTTATGTACTCAATAATGTGAATAATGTTCCAAGACAATTAAAACATGTTAACATAAAAATTATGTTCTAATTTCCAACCAGGTGGGTATTGTGAATACTTATATTCTACAAACAACTATAATAAAAATAAATACAATTGGCAGATAGTAGATCTGTAAATACAAATTTTATTTTTGTCAGAAAAGGTTCAAGAACACCAACAATATTATTTTGTATTATATATTTTTAATCATTACAATATGAGATTGAAGTATTTGAATTATAAATACACAGATTATTTATTTCACATTTAAAAATTGATATACYTATAAAACGTAATATTGTGTAAACTAAATATAACATTACAT